CTACAGAGGTGCATTAGGCTGTAAGTATATTACTTTCAGAAAAAAACACTTACATTAATGGGTGCATAAATCGCCTATGCAATGATGGGAGAAGAGGCAATTTAGAATTTTTCACCAGCTTCAGGGAGAGACTTATTCTTCATTATTTAGGACCAGATCGTGGCGCTTTCATTTAGACTGATGGGCTGTTACAGAGGAGCTGCCCCGCTGAAGCCCACCAGTGAACACCACTTAGCAAGGTAAATAAGAGCTCCACACCATCCATCTGCAAACCATTTCACAGTTAGGAAAGCATTCAGAGGATGCCACGAAACTTGGTGCTAATGTGGCTGCTGTTATCTCTGCTGAATAGTCTCACTATATAAAAACAAAAATAGCTTATTTGCAGACTAGATGAGCAGCCATCAATTCTTAATGTTTCCATTTATTTTTATGGGAGATCCCTTTATGTTTTCTTCTGTCTGCAGCCCTCCCCAAACAGATTTGCTGGTTCTTCAGCAGCCAAAAAGCTGAGTTGTCAAGAACTGCACTGGGTTTTTTCTGAGTGCGTCTGAGTCAAATACCTGAGGCAAACCCTGAAGTGAGAATAAGAATGAAGATGCAAAAAAAAAAAATTAGAAACACATCAAATATTCTTTAGAAAATCTTCTTCACGTGCTATAGTAGTACCTTGTGAACAGTTGATCCAGAGACAGATTTTTCCTTTTCTTTTTACCTTTTGCAGATTGCAGCAGCAGAGTATTCACTATTTAGCAAAGCGTGCTGATCTAATCTCAAATATAGAACAGCTTGAAGTAGAATTTACAGATGAAACGTAAATGTGAGAGGAGAAGGAGAGCTGGGGAAAGAAAAGACAAGAAGGTTAAAGACAAGGTGAACACGTGATTATAGAAATCATTATCTAAAATAAATGTACAAATTAGGAGGTTCTTGGGAGTTCGGTATTCCCAGGATTGGTTTAAACGTGGAAGGTGCTTTCTCAAAGTGCACGGAGGCCCAAGGAATACCCAGTGCTCGAGGGCACTGCGGTGATGCCCACCATGGTGCTTGCAGTGCAAGCAAGTGCTTGCTGGCCTCCTTTAAGAAACTGTTCATCTAAAATAGCCTCCTGGCCATAATGATTAGATTATTTGCTGCCGTTGAAGCTATTTTGCTACTGCTGCGGTTCGGTCTCCGTGCACCGTGTGCAGACAGAATCCCGGTAGGAATTATTAGGGCTGGAGATAAAGGTTAGCAGGCATTCCCGATCAAAGAAGCCAAGCATGACTCACCAAACTTCAGGTCTCTGCTGTATTACCCGCATAAATTCAAGGCCTATTTATGCATAAAATGCAGTTCTTTCCAAAGCTATTCAAACGCCGGAGATAAGAGATTATTATGACTTCATGTCATGTTGAGAGACAGGTGGAGGAGAGCGCAGTGTTTGTGTTGGATTCAAATGTCTGCTGGAATCGTTCCTGTCATTGCTAATTGATGTTGCATCTGTCTTTAGATTGTGATTATTGGGGGGAAGAAAAAAATCTTATTCAGGGAAATAATTACAGTCGTGCACTGGTAGATATAAATTTGAAGTATATGGGGGAAGGGAGCTACATCCTATAATTTATCAAATTCCTACATCCCTGAAAAATAATTAGGTCTTGGGCACCACACAGGCCCTGCTGCAGAGGCTACTGTCAAGGGGATCGCAGTGGTCAGAAATAGGCCACTGGCTCTCATTTATTCCATCCATTTTTTATCTTCTGTTGTGTTTGGTGTATTAGTTTCCAACCGTCTAGAGACAAGGCACAGAAAGAAACCCAGTGGCAGACTTTATTAAGAGCTAGAGCTGTAATCCCCGAGCAGGCGAGGAGCTGCACGAGCAAGCTGCAGAGGGGAAAGGGGGAATTCTCCGCATGTCTCGCTTCCAGGAATTTCTCCCTCCAAAGTCCTGCAGTGCGATTCCGTTACCGGCAGCACGAAGGCTGCCTTGCTTTGGCAAACATCCATTAAAACCCGGATTACGGGGGAGCAGCTCAGGAAGCAACTCCTGGTGGAAGCCGTGCGTCCCGCTCGTCTGGCTGTTGGCTCTTTTCTTTCTCACTTTGCTGCCCTCTTCAACGACGGTAGCATGTCTTTTAGCTGGGTTTCTGCAGCCCATTCTGTACGGTTTAATGCAAAGAACCCTCCTTTGTTAGGTAAAAATCTAGCTGCTGTTGCACAGGTCGCAGTGGTCACCTTGGATCCACAATACCATTGGCAGGTCCCAATGTCCTTTACCTATGCACCGTGGATGACTATAACATTATTTAAATTATTGGAATTTCTTTTACAATTCACCCCCAAAACGTTGTCTGAGAAGCTCTTGGGAGCATAATTCCATAGTAGTATTTGCAATTGTGAACCACAGCCTCAGGCACTAAGATAATTTCCTGGTATCCAGGCAATAGGGCTTCTGTGTAGAGCTGCTTCCTGCAGCTTCAAGGGCTTGCGCTTCTGATAGTTGTCTGGCTCATACATGCTGCTTTTAAAAGAGGGAATTTGTTCATAATTTAGGAATCTGGGGCTGTAACTGGAGATAGTGCAGAGATGTGTCAACTTCAGCATCTTTTTTTTTTTTTGTATTTCTGGAAATTGAAAACTTAATTGCTTATCAGAAATGTGCATCATCAAGTTCCTAAATAAGGATTAACGGGATTGAAGTTTTATATTGAGGAAAGTTACTGCTTCACTAACCCAGCTGCAAAATAGCTGGAGTGGATGGACTCCCCTTTCATATACTGTCAAGTTAGGGAATTATAAACTTAAACTGCCTTAAACTTAAGCTGCCTTTTTTTCGTAGCAAAATGCCATAGCACCTGCATGTCCAGATGCAAGTCTCACTTCTCATTTACATTTGCAATTCAGTGGAGGTAAGAGCCTCCAAAAATGAAGTCTTCCCTGAGAATTAACTCAGAGTAATACAAAGGAATAAAAATTGATTGCAGCACCTTCTCAGCTGTCTTCCAAAAACTGATAAATAAATACATGCTGGAATGGGTATCGGTGTCTTCTAGCAGGTTTCATCTCCCCCTGCTTCACATTTTGTTACAACAATCACGGTGACTCATTGCCTTCGTTAGGCACGGGAAGATGTTCCTCATTACTCATTACCAAAGGGAGGACTTTGCTGCAAAGAACAGCCCTGCAGATTCATCTGCCTTGCTAGGGAAAGCAGCCCATGTCATTGTTCCCCAAACTTTGCCCAAAGAGACAAGAAATAATGTGGTTTAATTGTCTCCAGTTGTAAGCACCCTATTCACAATGAGAAAATTGCATTTTTCAGCGCTCAGGAGAAGATACGTATTTTTCTACGTCTCTGTCTGAATTATGTTTCTCAGAGCTTGAAGTGAGGTATTAAAAAGTGTAAATATATATATATACACACACATATAAATATGTAAGTGTATCTACAAATATGAAATGCAGGAAATTAATTTATTATATTCATTTTTAATTGGAGTGTATTGTAAGTGTGGCACATAAATTCACAGTCAAAGCACTTTTTGCTTAACTATTCCAAAGATGTATTTGATTTTGAAGGCAGTAGGGAAAGCTATATTAAAATTATTATTTTTATTCATTTGACTAACACAGATATTCCTTGTCTCTTTTTGCTTTCCTTTTGCCTAGAAAAATTTTTACTTAAATATTAAGAGACTGAGCTTGTGTTATGTTTTTATTGTATTTTAATTTGTTTTTTATTAAGCTCTCCAGCACAGGCCATGCCTCTTTATAAATAAGGCTATGATTGTGCATTACTAGAAACCCCATTTCAAACTGTACTTTTGCCAGCATAGGTTAAGATTTTCCAGGAAGGGACATTTTAAATATGTGATTAATCTTCATAAAAAAAAAAAAGGAAATTTTGGCTCAGCGGTATTTTTCACTGTATTAGCTTCAGAGATTTATAAAACAGCCTTGAAACTGCACTGTAAGTGTGTTTATAATTTAGCTGATTTAATAATCCTTGAAGTCCGGTGTCTGTACAGACTGCAGCACGTTACCTGTGGCATCCAGATGAAGTTATCAGAGGGATAGGAAATGACTTGGGATTGGGTTTATCCCTCGCGATGCACTAATCCGACCTCTGGCTGGGCTGGGGCTCTCCGGCTCCTTGTCTGCATTTATCCCATTAGGCAGCAGGGACATGTGCGTGGATGATAAAGAGCATTTTCATGTTGACAGTGCAGCCAGGGCAGGTTGTGCCATCCAGCCGTGGTGGAGCAATTGTAAGGCACCCGGTGCAGTTGTTAGGAAAATTTTCAAGCCAGGCTGTAATTCACGTTTTCTGTTGTTATCAGTATCTACAATGTGCTGCCACTATTGCCAATTCCTGCTGCTGGCAGCTCTTACTTTTTCTTTCAGCTCATGATCCCACAAACCTTTTTCCATCCAAGAAGCTCCTGATCATGTCAGTAGTTTGGTTGCTTGTAGGTGTTGGGGCTGTCTTATCCCAGTGGAGGAAGAGCCTCATGGACAAGCAGGATCTGATCCTTAGGTTGCACTTACACTTATGTATTACAAACCATGACACAAGATTGTTTCTAAAGGTACTACTGTAATCCAGAGCATGGTGTGCCAGGAAGTGCACAATTTACAACACAATTTCCATATACTCAAGAAAACAATTATTTGCACAGAAATCTATTTTTTCTTCTTTAGTCTTCCAGTTCATAGCAGTTTAGTAAACAAATTTAACCCAATTGTGTATTTACAGGCTGGTATTTAAGATGTTTTGTGACCTTAAAGCAAGTCCTACCGTAGACAACACCCCGAGCATCCTTGGCTGGTGCTGAGCACTGCACAGGAGTCCACTGACACCTGCAGAATTCATCTCTTTGGCCTTCCCTTAATTGTCAATGTCTTAGGCAGATAAAAGAATAGTAATTTCCTTTCCAGACTCCCCCATTTGCTCTGTAATAGACTCAACGAGCAGAGTGGACTGTGTGAAAACCTACCCTGTTCCTTGCTTTCTTCAGGCATCCACTGTGACAACGCGTGTGCTCAGGGACGCTGGGGACCAAACTGCTCCATCTCCTGCAACTGTGAGAACGGGGGGTCCTGCTCACCTGAGGACGGGAGCTGTGAGTGTGCACCCGGATACAGAGGACCCATGTGCCAGAGAAGTAAGATTTTCCATAGATCTGAGATTTTTTCGTGGATAGGCAGCAGCAAAGCAGAGCAAAATGCTCATTTGTGGTACTATTCAGCCACACCAAAGTATGATTTTCAGAGCTGCAATTAGCTTATGATTTGCTCAGCGGAAAGGTTAGCCCAAAAATGCTTCCTGACCAAAAAAATCCAAGGAAAAGGGAGATCAGAGCAGTATTTTACTACTTTCTGTTCACCTCTGCTCAAATTATCATTGGTTGGGTGCTGACAAGCTGGTGAGCAGCGTTTTGCTGTCATAGTGCCATTCACAGAAGGTAGAGCTGCCCTTACCCTGTGTTTCCAGAGCACTGATGGCAAAGCAAAACTGAGTCCTGCCTTACATTTCTTCTACAACACCTGGGGATCACAGGAGAAGCTGGAAAGAAGCAGCAAAATCTTTGTTTATGAAGCTCAGAAAGATGTGGGTAGAAATAGCTCTACAGTCATGCCATGGCAAAGGATAGGACACCTATGAAACAGATTTGCACGGACACCGATGCAGCTGGAATGGCACCTGGGGGAAGGCAGCTTCAATACTAATGTTTTATTTTGCTGGAGAACATGAGGCCCTGGGAATGAAGGGGTAGCTTGTCTGAGGAGACCATAGCTCATCCGTTGCATGAAGAGAAATGCCAGCTACAGCCCATCATCCCTTGACAAGTGGATGAACATTGGCTACCAAAGTGACAAATTGATGTTTTCTTCCTTGCTAGGAAAAGAAACACAGCAGCCCAAAATAGCTCCCGTCTGATGATCTGCTGCTACATATTAATCTGTGCCGAGGAGATAAAAATCCTCTCATTTGCTTCATCTGGGAAACAGCATTTGCCCCGTAGGGACCTTTACTCACTGATCCAAAGCACATGCAAACTTCCTCCTGTGTAAATAAGAAATGGATTCATCTTTTCTTTTATTCCTCAGCAGCCCTTGTTCTTCCTGTAAGACATTCTCCATGCCCAGTTCATATATCCCACCTGATTTCACCAGTTACACTTGACACTAGGACACACTCATCTCTAAAAATAATTTGTAGCTGACAGTTTTTATTTAAAGCCATTATAACTGTGACCTCTAGCACTGCTGTACTTAATGGCCTATAAGCATTTCCATTATAAACCCCAATTTCCAGGTGCTTCAGCATATCTATGTAGCAGTAAAACCTCTCTCCAAGGCTGAAATGTGGCACTCGGAGCTTCAGGGAATTGAGGAAGAAATTGTTTTACAAATTTGAAACCCTAAGAGTGCAACACCTCCAGAAGTTAATGGTTTCTGGCCTTTCTGAGCTGAAAAAACAGCTTAGTTGTATCAGCTATTGGCACATAGGCTACAAGAGACAAACTGTGTCCCCAGCTGGCAATTCCAGTAAGCAGGCTGTGCCCTGAGGACATTTGCTGAGCGCTCAGTGGAGAGAAATCCTCCTTCCCACAGGGGTGATACCAGAGGCATCCTCTGGATGCTTCTGCTATTGCCTTGTCTTGCTGAAATCAACCCCTAGGAAGATAAGACCAGGGAACGCTCTTGCTCCCACCTTTTCTGTTGGACTTGACCTTGGAACTGCTTTGTCATGAGGACACCTTGGGGATCATTCCCGTTTTCCTCCTGCAAATTCAGCTGGGAGCAGGATGCAGCCTGTAAAGTGCAGCACTGAGGATGGTCCTCATCCAGCTCGTCCCGTCCAGCGTGATCAGGATTACGTGAGAGACCAGGAGAGTTTTCTGCTCTCAGCCCTGCGGAAATGTCTGTGGGAATGATCCAGGTTGTTTTATGGTTAGTGCGTCAGCAACAAGACTGTCAGCTAAGTTCTAGCTGGGAATCTGCAGTAGCTGAAGAAGCTGACATCTTCTGTGAACATACGGACCAAGAGAGAAACTCTCTTTCGGGGAAAAAATAGAACGGACATGATATAGTAACCGCTGAGCCAGAGCCATATAACAGAGAATCACAGGGGTAAAAATAAACACATGTAAAGTCATTCTTACCGTTACCTACTGCAGTTTAATGACTCTTTGTGCTTACCTGTAGCAGTGAATCTTCAGGCAGTGGATGGTGTTTCATTCTTCATGGGCTTTGAAGCAAATATACAGGGTTAGAAGAGCTGCTGAACCCTATTCTTGGCGCTATACCTTCAGGACAGATTCAATAATAATTTCACTCTGAGTTTTAAGCTAATTAAGCACACCATTCATAACAAGTTTACTCAGCTATCCAATATAATTACTGAGGCAAATGGGGTGCTCTGGAATGTTCTTTTCATAATGAACCTTTTCAGATGTTGTTCCTCACTGGTGGATGCTACTCCTGCAATGGAAGGTACAGACTGCGTGTTCCAGCTGAACATGACTTGTGCCTATTATGTTTAGAAACCAACTTTTGACATAGTCGTTTAAAGAAAAAAAAAAGTTCCCTAATTCCTCACTTAATTTCCTAAGGAAGCAAGCTTCTGAGGCTCTGCTGCCTGTGCATAGGCGTGTGTGTATATCTCTTCCCGCCTGTCTGAAAAGCTTTGCAATATGTTACCAAGGATTACTCATATCTGCCAGTGGCATATGAGGCCTCAGAGGTCTTAAACTCCCATGTTTTGTCAAAATGTGTAGCTGGAGAGGGTCAGAGAGACTCAAAGCAGCAGCTCTCCTGAGGAGCACTGCCACGAGAGCTCAGCAGGGTTATTAAATAGCTGAGCGCTTACATGACGTGGGATCATGTGAATATTTGAACCCCAGGAAGAGCTTTACTCAAAGCTTACACTTTATTAGCCATGAGATAATCCACCCATGAGATAAAGTTATGGGAAAACAGGCTTCCTAATTCCCGCTGTTTGCAAAACTCTGTTGTTAGATAGAAAATAAGAGGTATTGTTGGTCTTCCCGAAGCCCGTGACGCCTTTTTTTGCTCTCTCCTCAGTTTGCCCGCCCGGCTTTTACGGGCACGAGTGCAGCCAGGCATGCCCGCAGTGCGTGCACAGCAGCGGGCCCTGCCACCACGTGTCGGGACACTGCGACTGCCTGCCCGGCTTCGCCGGCCCGCTCTGCAGCCAAGGTACGGAGCCCGCTTCTGCCCTGCTGTTTCTGTTGTTTTTTTTCCTTGTTTCATCACTTTAGATCACAGGACAGTCTTTCCTTCAGAGGCGGCACGTACATAGGTGCTTAGTCCCCCTTTTGTAAAACAACGTGCTCCTGCTTTTATAAATAAAACAGTCGCTGCTCGGCCTTTAAATGAGTATGGAATGAGACGCACTGTAAATACAGCAGCTCTCCCTTCCCCCTTTTGCCAGGCCTACCTTAGCTTGTAGGTGGGTGGCACTTTGGAGCCCTCTCTTTCAGCACGAGAGATGAACATCAGCCGCTCGCAAGGGCTGCACTTGCAAGTCCGAGTGCGTAACGTGAACGCTCAGCTAACGGCTGCATCCTTATTTCTGCTGTCCAGGATTCTGCAAATAGCTGAAATAACGTGTGTCCAATTAAAAGTGTAGGAGGCGAAAAAAAAAAGAGTAACGAGGCAGTGAAATCAGAGACGTTGCAGCTTTGGCTGCCCACATGTCTGTCACCTTTCTGTCCTTTTGGAAGGGAGTCCGCTTTTAGCCGTGGGCTTCAGTTTTAATCTTATCCTAAAACTGCCTGCAAAATCATTACCATCTTCTGCCGAGGCAGAGTTATGGCCTGCTACGGTGGGTGTTTTCTACGCACAGATTTAAAAGAGATTATTCCTAATGGCTACTGCCCTTGTGAAGTCACCATCCTTGTAAAAATTGAACTGACACTTTTTAATGACCTGCTTCTGAGTAAGTTAGAAAGTGCAGACAGTACTTAGGCAAAATCATTAAACATAGATTAAATATAACCATGTTTTCTTTTCCCTATGCTGCACAGTCAACTAAACATTATACCAATTAATATATTAGAATGAACATATTTCAGTGAATTTGTCCATTTTATGTGAAAAGTTATCCTGATTTCAAAGCGTAAGCAGGGCTAATTATCCTCTTAAGAAAACTCGATTTTATTTTTGCTCAGATGTTCAGCACTTCTGGTTTTACTTTGAAATGTTGATCCATCCAGCAAATTAATTTTAAAATATTCATGTCCTAATTAAAATCAATTTGTGTTGCAGTTTGTCATAACGAGTTAGCATGTAACTTTATTTTGTAGAAAGAAGAATGCTAATTAATGTTTCCTATTAGAAAAAAAATTGCAAGGCAAAGATTTTGCTCTTGCATTTGCCCCTGGTGCTGGGGCTGTCCCGGCAGCGGGCTGCTCGTCCCCGTGTCGAGCTCCTGTCTTCCTTGGCTCACACATTGGCCTGGCTGTTTAAGCAGCAAACAGCCACACAGCTGCTTCTCAAAGTATCTTTCACTACCAGAGAGCAATTTGAACCTGCAATATGTTAGAGCTGCAGGAACAACCCTGACTTTCCGAGCTTCTGGGTTTTTATAGCTAATTAATACCACCGTCTGCATTGAATAAAGCAGTATCAGTCCTCACTCTCCAGCTTTGTTCAAAAATACTTAAAGCATTTTAAGACCCGCACTTACGTGGATCTCACAAGTTTACAGGAGAGTCGTCGTGTCAATCCTTAGCCAGATTACCTCAGCTAATGAGTGCAGCCCTCTTGGCAGGATGGATCTTGTGCCCCTGCTGTGCTGACACCCTGCCGCGCTGCAGACTGTTTTGCTAAGACAAGAGGGGCCCAGGTGGCAGAACCCCCCTGCTCACTTTCATCTGGGGAGCCCAAGCACTCCTTTTGCCAGGGATGCCCGGCTACCTTTGTCAGCATCAGGGTTTGGATCAAAAATCTATTCTTGATTCATTAGTATTCCAGGCTGCAGCATGAATCTGCTTCCATTTTAAGGAAGTCCTTTGAAGACTATTTTTTGTACATATAAAAAATCTGGCCTTCGTTTAAGTGATGTTATCTGTCTCCATCTTAAAGCTGCAATAAAAATATCGCATTGAAGCGCTCTGTATAGAGCAGTGGAATTGAATAATAGTATAGCATGTATGAGCACCTGGGTTGACGGATCCTTTTAGTTTTTGCTCTTTCTGTGACGTGAGGCCTTTTCTTTCCTTCGCTCCCTTTCTCTTTGTGTCTGTATATTGTTCTTTTCATTACCTGCATATTGTGTTTAGTTTTATCTCCTTTCAGTTCGAGAACTATTCTGTTGAGCACATAATTTGAAAGCCAACTTTATCCACTCCTGCAGATAAGTCTGGGGCTAGACTAGGCGGTATTGTTTTCCCCACCATTCTTAGGTTTCTGCCATAGTAAAAGTAGAGGATGGCATATTGTATAAAAGCAAATGAATCACAGCTCAGGATTTCAATCTGTGGCTGATTCACTGTCAGAAAAGATTGAGGTCACCTGCAGAGAATGCCTATGAGAAAGTGAGAGCGCCTGAAATAGTGAAACAGTTGCATAATTCAGGGGAGTCCCTTAATCACTTTTTTGACATCACTATTATTTACCAGGATACGGGTCCGGTTTCATTTGTTACATTCCTCACAGAGATGGACTGTGTGTTTTATCTCGTTTTCAAAATACATCTGTTTTTGTCAGGGAGCAGAGCCAGTAAGAGCACAGAAATTCAACAATTCATTCATTACTCAGCAGAGCTTTCCATCAATTTTAATGTTAGAGATTTCCAATAATTTGGTAGGAGGTTGGAGACATACCTGTCTGTTAGTTTTATATCACTGTGCCTAGACTGTTGTAAGATTATTCTGAAGAAAACTCAGAGTTTCTTTTCTTCTCGAGGAAGCTGGGTGGAATAGACCCTGCTTTTTTTAGGGTACAGCACATCCATTTAACAAATCTCATTCAAACATATATTTAATTAATAGAATCTGGCAGCTGCAGCCCAGCTGAGCCCTTTCTACAGTAACGGGTTGCTGGAGGTGGTGGATGGATGCTAGAAGACAAACATGACTTTTCAGCAATTGGGTGTGTGCTGTCCTGGGGGAGTAGTTTTCCTCCAGGTTTATATGGTGAAAAGACTTGGGGAAGTAGCACTTGTGCTCTTGGTTCAGTAAGATGCTTTGAAATCCCACTGAAATTGTTGAGAGGTGAAGATCTCCACGAAGATCTTGTATATAAAGCAGCAAAAGGCATATTCCTTCCTCCCCACTGTTTGACCAGCCTTGGGACAGACCTGAACCTCTAGTGACAGACCCAAAGAGTCCCCGTTGTCTTCATCTTTATGAGGCTTCTTTGTTAGGCTGAACCACTGCAGAACCCCAGCTCAAGGTTTGCACCAAGGGACCCCTTCGTTGTGGCCCCACGTTAATCCCTTCTAAATGCTCCTTCTGTTTGCTGCTGTTCTCTGACTTCTTCCCAACTTACTATTCTCCTCCTCTCCCATTAGCCCCCAACCCTGTCTTGTCTCTCTTCTTTTCATGCTTCCATAATGTCCTTTATTAATTGTACTCTTCTAACTGTATTCAGTGCATTTTCCAGCAGAAATACGGATTTAAAAATGACTTTTTTTTCTGTTAATATTTTTATGCCTGAGATGTAAGCAAACAAAGCAGCCTTGAATCCCTTTTTGCAGTAAGAATTTTGCCCACTTGGCTTCTGCCAAGCAGAAAATGTCATAATTACTTTTATCTCTAATCACTAAATGTCAAGTCCTACGACTTCCTAATATTGATGACCAAGAGCCGTGAATCAACTACCTTGTATTTCCAGTCTGTCCCAGTGGCAAGTTTGGCAAGGACTGTGCTGAGGACTGTCAGTGCACCGAGAACGGGACGTGCAACCCTATTGACGGATCGTGTCAGTGCTTCCCAGGCTGGATAGGAAAGGACTGCTCGCAGAGTAAGCAAAGCAATTTCTCCCCTTCGATGTTTTCTGAAATTCAAAGACACATTCCAGAGAAATCCCTAAAGTATTGCAGCAGCCAGTGCCTTACTCTCTTTATAGCTTTTTTCTTTTAATTGATCTAAGTTAGCTTTGGGTTGAATCAGTTTCTGCATTTGGAATTTGCAAAAGCAGTTACTATAGCTGCTGTTATAAGAAAGGGAGGTCACAAGCTCTTATCAGAAAAGAAAGCTCCCTGCTCCCTTTTAATTTCTAGATGGATTCTCTTTTATTTATTTTGGAAATCATTTTCTTTCAGCTATTGCATTAGAAATTCTTAGCCAGTAAATGTTTTCGTGTACCAAGCCCATAGAATTGAGAAATTAGGCAGCTGAAATATTTCTATTAAATGTAATTTAATTGTAAAAGTCAATGTGGGCTGGAAGGGATGCAGGATTTCTTCTTGAAAATTGCCCAGGTAGAAGATTGGCATTTGCTGATCCCAAAGTGTCATTTCCTGAGAGCATCCCTTAATTGAAGATAGATCACAGGGGGAAGCAATATCCTATCATTCAGAAATGTTACTTCATATTCAGGATACAACTAGCATATTAGACAGCATTCCAGAGTAAAATATATTAAACTTCAAGTGATAAAGTAGGAATCGGATAAAAACAGACGGCTGTAATTTTGCTTTTATTGTGTGCCTTCCACAGGCAGAATATTGCTGTCACTCAGAAAAAAAAAAGGTGGGTGGGGGGGGGCAAGACAAAAGCTGCATGGATTCCTCATTATATTTAGCCATGTAATTGGGAAATGACCATTACTTTCTGTTAACCTTGGGGGAAAAAAATAAGCTTTTTTGGTTGCTGGGTGAGGCAGGCAGGTCCAGCAGCGATCTACAGGGAAGCAGGAGGCCGTGGCGGGAGCTCCTTCGCAGTGCGGTCTCTGCGAGCGGGGACCTCGCTGCTTGCTCAGGTGCCTTCTTGCCAGGGGAACCTGCAGCTCCCAGCACGGACCCGGCCTCCGGCCCGGTGCCAGCGCTGAGCTATTTCGGTGCACCGGTTAACCTGGGATGACCGGGAGCTGGAGCTGCAAAGGAGGTAATTTTAGCTCCAATCCCAGAGCCAGTCCTGGAGATATTCACAGGCCCCGCAGCTCTTGCATGCCGGGGCATTGGCAAAGCGTTTCGGGGGGGTTGTAGCGCACGTACTCCAGGCCAAATCCTGTTCAGATCGATATTGTGCGAGTTCAGTGACCTTTTGTTTGATTGACGTCATGGCAGAATTTTTGCTATTCGTTTTGGCTTCAGATGTGTCTATCATATGCCAGAAACTTGCATTTATCGTCAGAATTGGAGCCACTGGCATGCACCGAAATAGGCACCGTTTCTGCACTTTCAGGTTTCCTGGGAACCATGCCTTATTAATTCATGTCTTTAATAGGAAGCAATGGAAAGTGCTTTTTAAAGCAAAAATACAGTTGTTATATTGAAGGGTTATCATCATTTTGGATCTTTTAGTCTGGCACTAATAACTGTGTAACTTACTGCATTCATTTTTGGAGGGCGCCTTAAAATAACTTCAGAAAATGTGTTAATATTGTACTTGTTGAACTACATAATAGACCTGGAGATTTTAATTTAATATTCGCCCCATCAACAAAAGCAATCTGATTTTGTGGATGGGAATTCAACCTGATAATAAGTTTTCTTTACATTTTTACGTAATTTGAGTGGTGCTCTATACTTCAAATGAATGTGGTAATTTTAGCAGTTGATTGCATAGCAAATGTAAACCGTGAATAGCAGTACTTTATTATGCGAGAATTATGGAATATCAAAAAGAAAATTAAATTACTTCCATGTCTTAAAACCCTGTCTAGGCTGGTTTCACAGATAATGCTGGGAAGGCAGGGAGGGCGGATAGAGCACTTAGGGCAATGCACTGCCCAGGGTCACTGTTTGAGTGGCGCTTGGTGCACGTGGGCAGCCAGCCTTGCTCGCTGATTTATATGGGGATAAAAGCACCTGGGCCAGCCTTTGACAGCTGGGGTTAAGCTGCAGGTTGGCATCCTCACAGGGCGAAGTGACGATCCGCTCGGGAGAGAGGCTCCTTGCCGGGAAATGACTGCAGAGCTCTGCACCGCAAAGCTCTGCCTGGGCTGGGGTCTCCCAGGTCCTCTCTTTACTGCTGTTCCTCTGCAGCACCAATGCAGTATCATTGCACGTTCTTTTTTTTTTTTTTTGCCAGCTCACAAATCTTTTTTATTTCCCCAGCTTGTCCCGCTGGTTTTTGGGGCCCCGATTGCTTCCATTCCTGCAACTGCCACAACGGAGCAATGTGCAGCCCTTACGACGGAGAGTGTCGATGTACCCATGGTTGGACTGGGCTCTACTGCACTCAGCGTAAGCCTTTCCCAGACTCTCTTCTGCCAAAGGGTGTGCTGCTACCTCGTGTCTGTTCCAAATATTGCAGTCCTGCCTGCTAGGGCACCCATTTAGTGACTTCTCTCATGGAGAAAATAGCCCTGAAACTTTTCATGTTTTTTTATGCCGTTCCCCCTCAGTGAAGGAGGAATCGATTATTTAGATTATTGATTCATTGTCATAATTTGCCCAGGTGTTGTTCCTGCTTGGGAAAACCCTTCTCTAAGAGATTTGATGTAGGAAAATTTTTAGTCCTACTGATACCAAATAATCATCACTGTACCAAAGTATCAAATTCTGGGGAGCTCTCTCATTTGCAAGAAAGTCATTGGTGTTTGGCCTTTGAGGCAGTTTCCTTTTGTTCATCTTCTTTCACTTATTGAAAATGCAGTTAGCATAGATTGGTCAAACCTCCTTTATTCTGAAACACTTAAGAGGCTATTCTGTAGGATATGAGAAACACTACTTCAAGAAAATTGGCTTTCATGGCATCTTTGCATTTGGATGATCAAATAAATGTTATTAAATATACAGAGGCTGAATATGCATAGATATACAGACCTACACATCTTGTGCTGGTATTCTGTCTGTGTTAGTGTTTCGATTTATTTCTTAGTGCTCTCTTATTCTAATTCCTGAAAGGTTGCCCAGCAGCTTTTTATGGAAAAAATTGTGCCAATGTCTGTCAGTGTCAGAACGGAGCAGACTGCGACCACATCACAGGGCAGTGCACGTGCAGGACGGGTTTCACAGGCAAACAGTGCGAGCAAAGTAAGTTGCAACTTTTCCTCATTTTTACACTTCTGCTGTGCAGGCTTTCTTGTAGAACTCCTTGCAGGAATAACAGACTTAATAGGGGGTCTCTGCTTTATGCATTTTTGTTCTTTACCCTCTCGCCACTGAAGCTGCAGTGAATTGTACCTCTCACCTTGAGGCTCCAGCAACCACTTCCATATGCTGCAATGTAAATGACCCCGCTGGACCGCAGGGTCCTGCAGGCCAAAGAGATGAGCATCCCTCGGCTGGACTTCATTTACAGTGAAAACAGATCCGGGAAACAGGTTAATCACCTTTGGAAGGCTGTACATTTAACTTCAGTAGTGAGACAATGAGGAGCATGAACCTTGGTTACCTGTGCAAGGATCCCGGCATATCTTATTGTAATTGCTGTCAATGTCTTGCTGGTATATTTGGCAGCTTCTTTTAACAGCAGAGAATTAGGGTAGTGGAGCTGGATGCACTGAAGCTGAATAATTACTTGTTTGTCTGATGCAGTAAATCAAAAGAAAATTCTCACACACTTACTTTGAGTCCAAAGAGGGGGTGAAATTCATCTCACCTTACTATGGCATTAATTCCACAGCTTTTTTCTTTTTTTTTTTTTTTTTTTTTTTTTTTGGCAGTAAGGTAATACACTAATATTCCTGCTGAATTTGCAAATAAAAGGCCTGCCTCAGAGCTTCTTAAGTTTAGCTTACTTCATGCATCTTTATGTGCACATATAAAAAAGAAATCATGGGCATCTTTTCTGTTTGTACATCTTGGCACTCGGTAAAGTATGTGGCTCAGGAACAAGCATGCTTGTTCACATAGGATCATATATGCCACTTGGGGATCATATATGCCACCTCTGTATAAGAAGCAACTTATTGTTGCCTTGCATGCACCCTTACAGCAGCCATGCAGAAAGCAGACATTCCAGAAGTTCTGTAATAGAACTGTATCATAGCAGATTTTATACAAGCTGCATGTATAATTTGACTTTCTACAAAGCCTAGGGTTTTCTGTTCTATCAATAAATGTATTTATCTTTAATCTGAAAGAATCTCTTCATTAAGGCTCCCTCCTCCTGTGAGTCAGATCTCAGTTGAAATGCCTAAATGCAGACATCATTTCTGTGGTGCATTCCAAAAATTTAGAGCATCTTCTTTTAAAGTATGCTACAGGTTAATATCAGACTAAGCACTGGTTGAAAAATTTTTGATTTTCCTCATTTAGAAATCTGCACACGAAAGAAAGAAATATAACTTTATATTTAATTTTGTAATGCAAAACATTACAGGCACTGGCTAATGTTCACTGCTTATATTCAAGAAACAGAGCAAGTAACGTTCAGTAAAGTCTCTTCTCCATAGAAAGAAGTATGAGTTGCCAAATATTGTTTCTTTCAATTTGTTATTGAATGTTGCCTTGAGAAGTTTAGCAAGTTGCTGACAGATTTATTATAATAGCCCATCATGGTAATTGTATGAATAAATTTCTCAGTTGGACGTTCAATCATTTTGTCTGTGATAGAAGTATCACAGGATAGGAATCCTGATACAGAAGCGGAGCAAAGCAAACCATGCAGATGCTCAATTCTCCACTTCCTTCTACAGTGCTCTATTCCTGTTCCAACCCTACTGGAGATAATTTAGAAAATATGTGGAGTTTGGTGGTAAAAGTACGTTGTGTTGCATATAAATGTACATTAAAAATTATATTTGCAACCCCCCGTGGAAAATATTCTGCCGACTTGGAGAATTTTATGCTCTTTCATGTTATCCACAACTTCTGACTTCATGCTCTGTTTACCGCTGCATGTTTGAAATTGTATAGCAAGTCTTTTTAAGTGTGTGTGTTATTGATTTCATCCTCATAGAGTCTTGTGCAAATTTTCCAGAAAGAAGGCTAAATAAGTAATACCCAAACTGTGAACTGCAGTTGTATATAACTGTACATTTTTCTCCAGCTTTAAAATAATAATCTAGTAGTATGGATGTTGTCCTAGCTACACTGAAATTGAGGAGACCTTTTGACTGACTTTTCCTTGGGCGGGATTTTACCCTCTCTTCCCTTCCTCTTCCCAAAATGGAATTCTTTCTAATCATCTTCTTTGGCTTCACAGAGTGCTCACCAGGGACATTTGGTTACGGTTGCAAACAGCTCTGTGAGTGCATGAATAACGCCACGTGTGACCACGTCACAGGGACCTGCTACTGCAGTCCTGGCTTCAAAGGAATCCGGTGTGACCAAGGTACAGTGCCCTTTTATGTGCTAAATCTCTCCCTCTTGCTCTTTTTTTAACAATGGTGAACTTGCTTTAAGAAAAAAAGTATTTAAAAAATGAAATGTGCGATTCAATTTACAGTGTGTTATGAATTACTTTTAACAGCGGCTCTTATGATGGAAGAATTAAACCCCTATACTAAAATTAGCCCTGCTCTTGGATCAGAGAGGCACTCAGTGGGAGCAATCATTGGAATTATTATTCTCCTTCTAATTATTATGGTCTTGCTGGCACTGTTTGTGTGGTATCGACGGAAACAGAAGGAGAAGGGCCATGACATGCCAAGTGTATCTTATACTCCAGCCATGAGGATGACTAATACAGATTACTCACTTTCTGGTAAGGGTCTTTTTATGTTAATCAAATCTAGACTCATATTGCTCTATGTTGGGGAAATATAAGCCTCTGTGATGTATAACATGCAATATAGAGCCTCAAAAATACTGACACTTCCATTTCTCCCCCCAAGTACCGTGATTTTTAACATTTAACAGGGACAAGAAAGCAAGTGTCACTTAAAATTGCTGTAAGTTGCTTCATGTATGACCGATTATTTACAGGCTATAGGATGTCCTAGATATGAGTCCCTAGGTATGGGATACGCCACACACAGTACAGAAACTCGTCAGCTGCATCCCTACTGCCATGCAGAGAAACTTCCCATTGCAGAACCTGCAGGAGCAGACTTTTTTGCTTGAAGAATGTCACTGAGTGAGCCACTCACATTTTCTTCTACATTGCAGTTTGTGTTTTGAATCCTCCTATTAGCTGTTTCCTCTATGCACAGACCAGTCTCCATAATCTGGAAACCTGCTGTAGATTTTCTTACAAAATAGCTGATGAAGGACTGGGAGGGGACAGGGAAGGCTATAATACAGTAAAAGTAGATCTATAAGGTCAAAAGCATGCTAAAATCATATTTCTTGCTTGTTTCCATCTTCTGCTACTGCTGTGGAGGGCAGTTTCTCCTGACAGATTAGCGAAGCTTTGGAGGTGATGATCTCTTTAATGCTCTCGTTCTTTGCCGTTTCTCCATGGATAGTATCAAATAGCATGACTTCTATATTCCTGTTTCCTCCAATGTGTCTCTGGGGGGCGGATCTCCTTGTGGGTTGTTCTCTGGCTGCGCTGTGTCCCCTTGGATGGTGGCACAGGCAGGGGCTGGCCCAGCCCCTACGCTTCCCAGTCTCCTCCCTAATCCAAATGTTCCTGAGGCCCTGGCACTTGTTGCCAGCTCAGAGTGATATCAGGGGCAGCTCTGTTCCTCGCTTGGGATGCACTGGGAAGGAAGCCTCTCTTGCTGAGCAGGCAACGTCGTGGCCTGGCTGCAGCCTGGGCCTCGATGAAGCAGGTTCTGTCACGGCCTTGACTTCCACCCTCCTAGCAGGGGCACCATTCCCTACAATGGAATATCACATATCAGGGGCTGCCTGCTCAACACAGCTGCCTAAACTCGTATCGAGACCACTCAGGCTTGTAATAGAGCATCCCTTCTTCTGATAACTACAAAATGGGAGGAAAATAAAAGAAGAAAATACGTCAGCCTTGGGCCTTGTCCCACTACCTCTTGTTTTTGAGTTGTCACTTTACAGGCTGAGGCTTAAGCTGCCCATGTGGGTAAGAAAATTATGAAAGTGTTGCCAATTTCCCTGGCTAGTTACCAATACATTTTTGCCTGAAATGTGTCACATCAGCATCACTTGAAGAGCCAAACCATGAACATGCACAAGAGGACTGTGGCACACCTCAGCAACAGAGGCTTTCAGACTCAAGAAAGAAAATCACAGCCACAGGCATGGAAAAATGTTCTGGGCTTTTTGGTTCATTTCTTTCACGCTGACACTTTGTATATTTTTTACAAGTTGTTTTTCCTCTGTATTGAGTTGAGAATAGAGGCCAAAGAAACACTAATGCTGATGCTAATGAACAGAAACTCTGATCCTTCAGAATTAACAGAGGAAGATTATTTTTCTCCCCAGCTACTGCGACGAAGCTGCTGTGGTTGATGTTGGTAGCCCAGGACCATCCTTGCCATTTATGGGTTCCCAGGAGCTGTGTCTCCCTGTACCATGTTCTTGTCATTCCTTTCAGGTGCAACCACCTGTCCCTGAGTTCCTTACACCACGTGGCACTTAAGCACTTGAGACAGAAAACATTCTGGGATGACTGAGGTCCTGGATCCATCAAAACATCTGAGGGATCACAGCTTGCTGAGAATCTGGGGTCTTTTCTGTTCCTTGGGGAATGACAGAGAGTTTAATTCTTGCTGCTGTGTCCTCGCTGCTCTGTGTCAGCCCAGTCTGTGCAAAGGCCGAAGTACCAGATCCTTGCAACCCCAAACAGCACCAGGCAAGTGTTGACCTCTAGACTTCTCTAGAGAGAAACTGGATAATGTTTGCTTCCACTTCATCTCATTCAGTGATGGGGATCATGATATTAAACCTTTTTTCTTTCTGTAGTCCCTGTAACAATATAGTTTCTGTCGTGTAGGAAGCTGCAAAGGAGCAGAATCAGCCATCTCTCTTCATAAATCAAAGGACTAGCTTTCTTCCTACCCCCTCCCTTGACATATTAGGCTGTTTGAGCTCTCATAGAAAGACTACAAAGTTAGAAACCGTGTTGTTCCATCTGCCTTTTGTTACAAGAAGTCTTCTGATATCAGCATTTGATTTTAGTTTTAGAGGAGGGTGTTTACAAATTATAGACAGGCTTCTGAAAACTCCTTGACACATTCAGACTCTTGCAGTAGAAGGTGCTGGTAGGCAGCTTCCCCAGCATGGAAAGGGGAGAGGAAAAGGAAGAGGAAGGCACAGATGGATATTACAGACTCATAGCTTGGCTGAATAGCAAGAAGATATGAGTGTTTATAAGAGCATATGAACATTTATGTGCTGCAAAGGACACTGAAGGAGACTCTGTATTACTGTAGGATTTGCAGGGACATCAGTCTTAGCCTGCAGTTTTCCAGAATTAGGGACAAAATAGTCTGCAGATGTATTTGTACCCTATGCAGAACTGCAGACAACAGTGAGAACTCAGCCTGAGCAATGACTGCAGGATCAAGCCCTGTATGGCCTAGGTATAGGCCATAACAGTGTGGCTAACCCGAGAAGCTCCTGATACTGTACTTGCTTCTGCTTGTGTAGTCGTTTCTCAGCAGCGTCACATGTGCACATCCCTAGCTCCTGGAAGAATCCGTAATGTCTTCCAACACATTAATTATTTCTGGAGGATGTTTTTGGTCTTTGAGTCTTCAGCTCTTCTGATGCTGATAATCCATGTGTATGTATGAGAGAGATTATAAGAAAGGGGGAATCCCATGAGCAACCCAGAGACTTTTGAATTTATGGATGAAGGATGTGGCAGCAAAACACACAGTCTGCCCAGCAAGGAATGAGAGAGAAACCCACCCTCACGGGGAGAGCTTAACGGGAGTGCAAGGATCTGAGGCGGCCTTTCCCCAATGAGCCTGAAAGCAAAGTGGTGCTCAGCAGTACGGCACCGATACACCCGCATCCAAGGGTCAACTTGAAGGCACGCGTTGTGTTACTTTGTTCTCAAGAACGTTGGGACAGGTGGGTTCACTGTGCAGCAGTGTTGGAGAGTAGTTTGGGGCTTCGTTTAGGGCTGAGGTGGTGCTTGAGGTCTTAAGCAGCGTCTTAACGAACTTTCGGATGTGGGTGAATCATACAACAAAAACCACAAGCAAAGCAGAATAAAGACAGTGACAGGGGTCCTGTAGACACTTAAGCCTAGGTAAGGCTCCAGTGGATATGGCCTTGAGAATGATAATGTAGTGGGAGGTCGTGAAGTGAACAGTCCTGCTCAGGGGCACCTCAAAAAAATCACTGCCTGGAGGAAAAAGGCTGCTTGTAGCTAGAAATCTTTTTATATTTATTGGGGAATACTTATTCTTTTTTTTAAAGGCCTCAGTAACTGCTGTCTAAGCTGCACTCTCCTGCTGGTCTCCATCAGGACCTGGATAGCTGCTCTTTGTGTCACCTCCTCATACAGCATCCCTGTCTGGAGCAGAAGTCTTGCAGGGCACAGAGCCCTCTTGCCTTAATCCAGGCTTCAATCCACTGCATTGAAACATAGCGAGTGTTAAGCCACTTCCCTTCACTGGGCTGGAGTGCAGCCTGACGCTTGCGGGGCTTACGGCAGGAGCTTGTCCTCAACTTATCCCTTGATTTGTTCTTTCTGGCTTTTTTTTTTTTTTTTTGTGTGTGTGGTTATTTAAATCTTTTACTTACTGTTCAGAACAGAATAAAAATGCTCTCTTTTCTTTTTACCTAATCGGGGGATAGCATTAGGCTTGAACTTGATGTATTTCCAGCCATCAGTTATAAGAGCTTCCTGAGTAAATGTGTAGAAAATGGACTATGCTACCAAAGTAAATCAGCCTGTGTGGGCACTTAGGTGTCACCCAGACGGAACTGGACTGGAGGAGGAATTCTGAATTCCACACGCAGGGAGGGAAGGGAAGACCTGGGGTTGTTTAGACTTGTGGCCACCCACAGCCGCGCTGGGACATACCCCTGTCTCCTCAAGGTCGTTGCTCTTCTTGGTCATTGCTGAGAGGGGCCTTGGATGAGGAGGGATGGGGAGGACGGAGCCGGCACGACTGCCCGTGAGCAGCTGTGCTGGCGGTGGTGTGCGCTGGTGGCTGCAGGAGATGCCATCTCTAGCCCCTGGAGGTGGCTGCTGCCACTAATTCTGTTGTGAATAGCACCGAGTTACAGCCACGAGCCAGCCCAGTCCCAGCAGGTCCGCAGTGTCCCTGGCTGCCACCTCGGGCTGAAGCAGCCGTGCCAAGAAAGGCTCCGGAGCAGCGTCGCATGGAGCAGGGTCTCAATCCAACGTCGCTCACCCGAGTCTGAGCACCAGACCACGGTTATGGCAGACGCTGGTGCAAGGCATCAAATGCAACGAGCTGAGACCAAAACCCAGCCTGGGCTGAGGTTCTTTGTTAGCAGTAATGTTGGGAGAGCAGCTAGGACCAGCAGGTCCTGCAGCTGCTGGAAGGAGGGTCGCCCTGACGCTGCCCAGCAAGAGGAGCCGCTCGGGCAGCCACCCGTCAGCCCCGGGCGCCCGCCCTTCGCGACAGGCACCTTCCAGGTAAACCCACCCACTCGAGACAGGATAGTTTGCAGTAAATTAGATCTAGATCTCCACAAGATGTCAGCAAAGCAAAGTGCATGTTCCCAGGAACGCAGCTGTGGAATCCGAAAGGGCAGCGGGACGCTGGGGCCGCCTGGGCATCGCCTTCCCCAGGCGCCTCCCATCTTTCCTTCCCTCCCAGCTTCTCTTAACCTTTATTAAAGATAGAGCTGCCACCC